TACTAGTAGTAAGGCACCTGTTACTACTAGCGTGGCACTTGTTACTAGTAGCTTCTTGTTTGCACATGTCTTTGTTAAATTCCAAACATCGCTGCCTGCTATGAGCGCAGCAGGTGGATCTGGCATTACCTCAATCCAAACTTATTCACGAAGGACGCAAGCAGTGCTTGGGGTCAGGCTGTTAAAGAACCGGAGAAATAGACTGCGTCGAATCGCAAATCCTGGCAAGGCTAAGTCATCTGTTGCATGAAGTTAATCTTAAATTGGGTCATCCTATTATACTTTTCCCAAAAGTTAATCTTCCCTGTAGCGAAGATACTTCGCCTTGCTTTCACAGCCACACACCACGGTCAAATTGTGTCCTTGTTTATCTTGTTTGTGGCTTCATCGCTATTTTACAAACTCAGAAATAATCCAAAGAAGTGAAGTAAAGGGGTCAAAGTCGGTGTAGAATGACGTGAAAAGGCAAAAGAATGCAAGTGTTTCCTAAAAATCTAGGAACTACACGAAGAATCATGAAGAGTGTTGGCCATAGCGCTCTTAGGTTGGAGGCCATCATTATTATTGGGGCGAGGGCAAAAAACAATAACAATAATCATAGACATCGAAAATGATATCAACAGAAGAGAATCATGTGCAACAGGCATGCTGTCCATAGTAGTGCTGAGCAGGAATGTTGTCTGGTATTTTAAATGCCAAAAACCGCCAAAACATCAAATGTTTGGGGTCTATGTTTCAAGATAGACCCCTGTTTCAGCATCTGTTTGGTGTCAACTCCTTGAATTCCATTGTGTGAAAACACTTGTTCCTGATTTCTGGGTCACATTTTCAAAAACGAAGGGATATGTCACGACAAACTCCGAGGATGATATAGGCCAGCCGCTATTCAACTTAAGTAGCTTCCCTGAGCCTTCATGATTTGGCTAGAATGTTGGGAAACTGTTGTTCAATGAAAAGCTTTTACGAAAATCGGACTCTCTACATGCATTTATCCACCGTGGACCTTTAACTTTTGTGCGTGAGCTACTACTAGTAGCGATGCCCTTTGTTCCTAGTAGCGTCCTTGCTCCTAGTAGTAAGCCCAGGAGCCCCTAGTAGCGTCCTTGTTCGAATGCCCACACTTCCCTAAGCATGCACACTTTCGTGCAGAGGTTCGGAATCTAAGAAGAACGGATCAACAAGTGACACTGAGCATTTGCAATAGGTGACACGTCATCTGGCACGGATCAATCGATCGCAGCTGGTCACAACAGCATGTGGCGCCAGAACTTCAAAAGGTAGGGCAACCCGCAGACTCTTTTAAATATTGCTTTTCCATTGGGTTAAAGGCCATCGCTATTAGGTTGGAGGTCATTGCTAGGGTGGAGGCCATCGTCTTTTCATTCATGATTGAGATGTCTTTGACGATGCTTTTACCAAAGAGCTTCGCCATGACTCCATGCTTCGCGCATTCGAGACCCCTCATTTCATGAATGGCGCATTGTGGATTCCGTCCTTCGGCTGCACGATGTTTCTCCGCGTAAAATTGCATACACCAAACGAACCTCTAAAATGCCCATTGCTTCCTGGTTTTTATTGTGTTCTTCCTGGGAATAAAAAATAAACAACGAAAACAAATAAAGAAAGAAAAAACATTGTTGGTATCTAATCTATTATCATGTTCCTTGTCTTTTATTCCTTTTTGTATCCTCTAAAAGGCCAAGTGCTTTGCCCCATCATGTCGCACACCTCCACAACTTGTTGGGAAAAAGGGAGGCTTGTGTTCCTTTGAGTCATAAACGCCTAGATTTGCTTACAACACTCTTATTTACTTGGCGCATGATACTGGTGGAAAGCCCAAGATTGTCCAACTATATACATTGAAATGAGAGCCCCAAGTTCAAGTTACACTGACCTCTGGAATGGAACTTCCCTTCTGTGGCTTGCCATCGCATGCCTGGCAAGGCTCACACAATGCAAAAGTGGATAGCGGAGCTAGCGATGGCCTCCAACCTAGGGATGGCCTCCAACCTCTACGTTTCTGACCCCACCTCATAGCAGAGCTCTGACAAACCTTCGTCGTAAATTGATTTCTCGAGCACACGGCCTCGTCTCAGCAGCTCTGGGCTCAAAATCTCTTGGACCCAAACTGGGCTGCTGGGCAATAAAACCTCAGAGGTTTGCACCAATGAAGCCAAATAGAAATGTACATCGGAAAATATGGTTTGGGAAAACCAAACCAGAAATGTCTCGTAGCCATCCGAAATTCAGCATTCCATAAGTAAAACTAAACCTAAACTCTGTTTCACTGAAATTCAGATGGCATCCACCCTAACAGCGATGGCAACCTAGTAGCGATGGCCTCCAACCTAAAGAGCGATAGCCTCCAACCTAGTAGCGATGGCCTACAACCTTAACCTAGCAGCGACGGCCTCCAACCTAGTAGAGATGGCCTCCAACCTATAGCGATGACCTCCAACGTAGCGATGGCCTCCAACCTAGTAGCGACAGCCTCTGGAAACTACGAAGCCTATAACGATTCTATTCTGTCTGAATTTGTTCGCCCTCAACCTGAGCAAAAAGTGCGTCCAAGTCTATAAAAATTGAAAAGTTTTCAAAGTTCAAAACGATTCAATAGACTAAAACTAGAAATTGATCCTAAACGCATCCCTCTGGCGAACCTTCGACCTCGGGCGCGGCCCAATCTCCTAATTACCCGATGAACCCCACAAATTGGCCTGGAACAGAGACAGCAAGTCATGTTTGACCACTCACAAGTTGTGTGCCTCTTTTTCCGCTTTGGCCAAATGTGAAAAGTATATATGCGTTAATACCTTTTCTTGCCGAAATCTAGGCGCACAGTGTCTGTCTTTTGTGGAGCCTTTGTAGAATGCCAATGAGTTGAACCATCGCCAGAACTGAAGTTTGATTTGTTTGTATAAACTTTCTTCACGGCGTGTGTTTTTCTGCTGGATTTATTGCTCACAATTGGGGTTTGGAATGGTTTTCTCGGCAGGATCAACTGCAAACGCTTTTAGCGCTCCCCTTGTGGCACTTTGTGGGACACAAAGTCATCAGAAAGAGATAGAGTCGGCAATGTCATCGCTTATCATGGATTTAAAATGCTTCCAGGTCCCGTTCGTCTGGAAACACAACTTCAGGCAGGCTCGTGGACAGTTGGTACTCAAAACATTGTGGCGGGTCGTATTTTATGAAAAGGGCAACTGGTCCGACTGGTCCCTGTGTTCCACCATGTGCCCATATGCCACCATGTTCCACCTTGCACTGTTGACATTGATAGACCGTGTTCGACCCAGCACTGTAGAAAGGTTCAACCCAGCAGAGTGTCAACCTGAGGCCCTGCCAATGACTTTCGCAACCTGCAATCCTCCTGCCGCTTGCTAAGCCAGCTACTTAAGCCATTTTGAACCCCACCCATTAGAAATCAAGAAACTGGCAACTGGTCTCTGAACCAAGAATACCTTTCATAAGAACAACAAAGGGCATCGCTACTAGGAGCAAGGACGCTACTAGTAGCTACTGGGAGCAAGAAGCTAATAGAAACAATAATAAAACAGAATTAGAAATAGAATTTACTTCATTTTTAATTTGGATTTTAATTAGAATTGAAACAACAATACCTTTCACGACCGCCAAGGCACTCTCCAGATCGGTATCCCTCGGTACCTTCCGGCGCTGGACACCAGAGATCTGCCATTTTGAGCACAGCCTGGCCACTAGACGTGTGTTCCGTAGAAAGGGTGTGCCATTGTTCAAAGCATTGCAAAATTTAAAAATTGATGTAAACCTGTAAACCACTCAAAAAATTTAAAAAAAATGATGAAAATGGTATTCTTTGATCAATTGAAGGCGGTCCCCACCTCGGCCTTTCGGACATAGGCAGCCTTGGGCCATATCTGAAGATCGCTAGGCCATCGCTACTAGAAGCAAAGGCCATCGCTATTAGGAACAAGAGGACGCTACTAGTAACAAAGGGCATCGCTACTAGGAGCAAGGACGCTACTAGTAGCTCCTGGCCTTACTACTAGTAACAAGAAGCTACTAGTAGCTATTAGGTTGGAATCTACATCATTGAACTTTGGGCGCCTCGTAATCGATCCCAATTACCGACAAGCGCCGCTGCAGAAGCTCCGCCTGCACCAATGGAAGTCGTCAACAATAGTCAACATGCAAATCGACCAGCTCAAGTTTTTGACCACTTGCACCTTGTTTTTGACCAAGGCGGTGGCAGTTCCAATTCCCACCTTGCTATGTGAACGAAACAGAAGACCCAATATGCTTCGTTCGCACAAGCATTCGGACATCAAGGATTCGATCTCCTCGTTCGAGTCTTTGGAAAACAGCCTGCGCTTCGCACTGCATGGCGTTCGAAAACACAAAGGACAAAAATGAAAACGAATGAAAGAAACGCTCTGGAAAAAGACAGGAAAGAAAGGTCTAAAGTCTAAGGAAGATGAAACGTGAACTCCATGGAGTCGTAACTCCATGGCGCTCCACGGTGACTCCGCTTTCGACCTGGTACCACCGCGCAGTCATCCACACAATCACAGCATCGTAGACCTGAGGAGAAATGGCGCTCCATGGCGCTCCATCGGAATTTAGGTTGGAGGCCATCGCTAGTAGGTTGGAGGCTGGTTCACTTTGGTTTGCACCTCCACTTTAGCCTACCTCTGTCCTTCTGATCACACCGTGGTTCCTTCCAGCCAACCTGTCTTGCGACCAACCCCTTCAAGTGAACCCAGGGCAAAGGTTTGCGGAGTAGGCATGGACGCGATTGCAAGGGCACGCTTGCACCCGTTGCACGGGCATGTCACCCTTTCCAACCTGAACCCACGCCAGGCTAAGGACACAGAATGGCAGCTAGCGCACTTCACTGCCTCAATTTGAAAGGAATGGCTTGAATCACCACGTTGACCGACCCACAAGCTTACGAAGGAGAAACGAAAGCAATCGGAACCTGTGCCGAAGCTTGGCACTTGGCAAGGCCCTATGGAGGAGGATTGAAGTGGACAGCTCAAGAAGTGCTGTATTCGTTGACCATCATCGAGGGATGAAGGATATGAGACCTGAGAAGGGACAATTGCCATGCCTTTGCTTGGCCCAAAAACGCATGAACAAGTAAGTCTGAGTAGACTGTCAACCAAACATTCAACACACATAAGCTGAATAGTGTCGTTAAAGCACGTTGCTGATGCAAGTGGTGCACTAACCCACTCACCTTGCATCTTCTGCATCACCGACCCACAAAAAAACACCTCCGTCATAAAGTAGAGCCACCAGCAGGCCAACGTGGCTTATGTGTATTTTTCCACCTGGCCTATCGGCTGGCTTTCAAGCAGCAGTCATTGATGTTGAGGTTGACGCCCAACGTGAAAGCAGGCCCACACAACAGCCATGCGGTCTGGAGAGGGCTAGGTGAACAAGGCTTGGCGCCACATGGTTGCATCTAGTGACCCAGTGTGGCATGGCGGCATGTTGCTGCTGAGCCGATGGTTGGTGCATAAGGTTTGGCATCACATTGCTGCATCCAGGAAGCGGCGCACGATGCGGCAGTCTAGCAACGACAACTTGTCTTGCCTTCTGTTATCAATCAATTAGGTGAGATTCGATTCATTTGGAATGATGACTTGGCTTCCGCCATCCACCGCATATTTGACCATCTTCGATCACGCGACCTCTCCTCTTTTGTCAAGAGACTACCACCTTTATGATGCTCACCATGCCGAACAACATCATCAGCATCCAAAACTTTGAAATTTGCATGTTCAGCATCATCAATCTGCACCAGAACGAATCCATACCAGTTTCCTGGCCCTCCCCACCCGCAGACCCTTCAGTACGTTCATAGCAATCTTACACCCTCTTCAGTGCAGGCCCAGCTCTTTGGACCTTGATGTTACAAGAAAAATATTGTAAGATGAAAAAACGGGAGCTCGACACTTGCACGGCGCAGAATAGTCAAAGGCATCACAGGAATCTGTCCATCGAAGAAACCCGATTTGGAGGGGTTGGAGGCCATCACTATTGGTTTTGATCAGCTTTCTTGACGACTTCTAGCGCAGGCCCAGCGACGTCGGCAGCAAATAGCCGAAGGAGCATAAGCCTGGTTTTTCAGAGAGCACACAACACACATCTGCCACATGACAAATTCAAAGCTGAATCTAACTCACAAGATTCCGTTTCCAGGCCAGGCACAATGCCACGGGCACAATCAAAGCCAGCCAAAACATGGCTGTCAGTGCCGGGGCCGTTGTTTGTCAAAATTTTAAAAGCGGAGGTTCAGCGCTGATCTGGCAGATATTTTGTGGTCTGCTTTGCCTGCAAGCTCTGCTACTAGCGATGGCCTCCAACCTAATATCGGCGATGGACGTGACAAAACTTCGGACACGTTTGAGCACTTTGACACTTTTGGTGTTCCATTCGGGTTTCCTCTATGATTTGAGCCCACATGTCACCGCACAAGAAAATGGGTTGCCGACATGTCAAATTACCAGTTGGGAGGACGCCTTTTCGCACTTTTGCACTCTTTGAGGCCGCTAACTAGAAACATGAAAAGGAACCAAGAGAGACACTACTCCAACTCACGCATTGAAAACTAGAGAGGCACTCTGTTGACCCTAGTAACTCAGTGCTAAGTCTACTGCCAGGTGTTCGCAAACTCTCTAATTGCTGTTTGTATTGGGCCTCTGGAAGACGCTTTCACTGCGCACTCACGCAGCAGGGCCGGCATAAAGGGGCCTGGATAGAAGAAAGGAAATTTGGACTGCATCTGTGCTACTACAAGCGATGGCCTCCACCCTAGTGGCGATGGCCTCCACCTAGTAGCTTTTTGCTACTAGAAAGCTTTATTGCTACTAGAGCTTCAAATTACTACTAAAAATACTTAGCTATAATATGCCTGACATACTACTTCCACAAAACAAAGCTGTTATAAAGCATTGCAATGGACAGTCAGAGCATCCTAACACCCCAACAACTCAAGCTAGTGCCTCGTCGCTCTAACCTGCACTGCACAATCTCCTGAAAGACCATATCGCTCCAACGGGAGCGGGTCCTTGGTGCCAAACACTGAGAAGCAAATAGCGAATAGCCCCTAGTAGCGTTCTTGTTCCTAGTAGTAAGGCCAGGAGCCCCTACTAGCGTCCTTGCTCCTAGTAGCGATGCCCTTTGTTACTAGTAGCTTCTTGTTCCTAATAGCGATGGCCTCCACCCTAGTAGCAATGGCAAACACAAAGCCTGACTTCAAGTGTGGAATTGAAAAGGCACCTTGCTACTCGTAGCCTCTTGTTCCTAGTAGCCATGCCCGGGTTCCTAGTAGCTTCTTCTTACTGTGGAACTGTGCTTTTGGAAACTGAAAAACCATGAAACGAGAAGCTAGTAGTAACAAGTGCCTTGCTAGTAGTAACAAATTTAACTAGAATTGTAATTACTAGCAAAGGAATCTACTAAAAGACCGAACGAGTCGCTCTATCACGCTTCAAGTTCCATTTGATCGAACACATAGGTCAACCGACAAGGATGTCGACGACATTTGGAAGCAATGGTTTCTAATGGGCTGGAGATGGGATTGTCAGGGGCTTTAGATGGCTCCAAAAAGGCTGGCAAGGTAGCTTTTGAGAACGCGTTGATGGAACCACAAGCTAACACGCTTTTAGGATCAAAGCTTTGCTTGAGACAACGCAGCATTGCTATGCACTGCTGCGCAGTCTCTCCTCTCTGATCTGCCCCTTCCTCTTCTCTTCTGCTTGTGCAATGGCTGGTGGCAGTGGCACTGCCCTCAAACCTGGCTACATCCAACGTTCCACCGACACTTTACGCAAAAGTCTGCCCTGTCAGGCCATGAAGGCTACTTTGGAATCAACTGTCCTCTTGCACGGCAATACGTCGGCGTATCGCCCGATTGTAGGATCTCAACTCGACAGCAGGATTTACCAATGTGCGCAAATCCGGGCTTGGGGGTGTCACTCTTTATCACACCGGAAAAAGGTGCAACATTTGGGACGACAATCCTTCGCCTCCTGTCATCTAGGCGTTTGCCACGCTTCTAACCTTTAACGTCCATTGTTGCAATCTATCTCTTGCGCCCAACCAAGCCTTCAAGTGCCAGACCATCAAAGCAGAAACAAATCGAGGAAATGGCGAAGTGTTTGCGTAATCTTAACATTTGGACAACCTCAGTAGACCTGAAAGGAGCACCCACAAAAGCCGAAACTGCATCACGCCACCAATGCCACTCAAGGCTCTCGCAGCTCGACACGTCCAGCGAAAAGTTTCATGCAGAGGTAGGGGATACCCACCTGCGAGGCTTGGGAGAAGCGGGCTCACAAAACACATTGTTATTAGTCATCACGGTGCAGCTCAAGTCGAAGTGGAAGTAGTAGTAGTTGTTGTTGTTGTAGTAGTAGTAGTAGTGGTAGTAGCAGTAGCAGTAGGAGTAGTGGGAGTAGTAGTAGTAGTAGTAGTAGCAGTAGGAGTAGTAGTAGCAGTAGCAGCAGCAGCAGTAGGTAGTCAAGTTCCATGCCCATCATTGACTGTTCTTTTGTAAACCCTTGCCCGTTTCCTGGCCTCAGAAGTTATTCGCCCCTTCAGTTGCGCCACTGTGGTTTCAGGCGTGACATGTTCCTCTCGGCACAGGAAATCCAACGGAAAAAAATGGATTTCTAGGACTTGGGCTTGGCCGCGCAGCAAACAAATCGGCTAAAAGTGATGGCCTCCAACCTAATAGCGATGGCCTCCAACCTAATAGCGATGGCCTCCAACCTGATAGCGGCTTCTAGTGTGTTGAAATCTATCCAGTCAACAACAAGCCTTGATGTGTCCACCGCTGGGCAACTGACACCTGCGGCCACTGCGGGCTCGACATGCGTGTTTGCGATACCACAGTGTGTTGGTTGCAAAAATGGACATCCCAATGCTGCAAACCAGGAGAGAAAAACCTGGAGGTCATTCCAGGTTGGAGGCCATGGCTCTTAAAATGACAGGCAGCCGTTTGGCATCTAAGAGCCGAGCTCCAAATCAAAAGATCTCCAAGGAGCGCCGCCCAAGTGAAGCACGGGGCCACCAGGGCAATCATCTGGGACCTTGTGTACCCTAGTAGCGTCCTAGTAGCGAACCTTGTTACTACTAGTAAGGCACCTGTTCCTAGTAGCGATGCACTTGTTCCTAATAGCTTCTTGTTCCTAGTAGTACGGCCAGGAGCCCCTAGTAGCGTCCTTGCTCCTCCTTGTCTCAATCAAACATTGACAACACGTGCTCCACACAGCATTGACCACCACCAAGGGGAAGAATCTCATCGGAGCGATCAAGAAAAGAGCTTCAAAGACATACTAGAAAGCTTCATTACTACTACAGGTGAAACGATTCCCAGTCACGAAGATTCTTCATGAGGAGGACAGCCTTGTCCAGGCTGAGGTTGCGATGGGTGATGGAGCGAGTGAGTGTGCTTCAGTTTGTGTCGAGGATGTTGCAGGGGCCTTGGCGGCCTTGACCATCAAAACAGGAAGGAAAAACCTGCGTTAGGGCAGATACACTCCCTTCCGAAGCCCGCAAAAGATTCAAGAACTCTACAAGGTGGCTGGTTTGATTCGATGGACACAAAGGGAAACACAAAATGTCGTGGCCTTACCAGAAGACGGTGTGTAAAATGCCTTGGAAAGGGCAGTGTAAAAACTGCTTTGCGCCAAAGCTGTGTTGCATAAACGCTGTAGAATCTGTAGAAATGATTTGCAAAAAAGCTGAGGCGCGCAACGTCTTTGCAGGGGCGTTGTTATTGTTGTTGCTCTTGCTGCTAGTGAGTGGACGTGCTGTGGTGGTCCTGGTGCTGGTGCTGGTGAGGGGGGGCTCCCAAAGTAGTGATTTATCACTAATGAATGATAGGATTGATCTCCAGAAATGGTCCCCGAATGCCCCTCGTATGCTGTCAGGAAAAGTCTACTGATGCTTTGTTCTCAGCTTGTGGTCTTGAACAGAACTCTCCCACACCATGGCCTCCAACCTACTAGCAAAAAACGTGATAGGAATGGCCTCCACCCTAGTAGCGATGACCACAATATCAAAAGGATGCAAGCAGTTTTGCATGCTGTTGGGAAAGCGCACAATGTTGTACTCCAAGAGCGTTGCATCCTGGCAAGGGTGTGCCAAGTTGTAAATTCGCTACACCGCTCATCAACTCGACATGTACTGGCCAAGAAATGCTAAACAAATGGCCTCGTCATCCAATTCTACACCATTGAATACGAGAGGTTCGTCGGCCTGGCTTCCAATGTAGTTTCGTAAAGAATGGCTGTGTGTCTACCCTAATAGCGTCCTTGCTCCTAGTAGAGTAGCGATGCCAGGAGCCCCTAGTAGCTTCTTGTTCCTAGTAGTACGGCCAGGAGCCTAGTAGCGTCCTTGTCCTCTTTAAAAAAACCATTGCATGCACTTCCGAAGACCTGCCATTGGCAATCGTCAACTACTGTAGCCTTATTGTTACTAGAAAGCTTCAAAGACATACGAAAAAGCTTTATTGTTACTGACATGTGAAACGATTCCTAGTCACAAATTCTGCTTCAAACATCCTTGCATGCACTTCCGATGACCTGCCCCCGCCTCAGCTGCAACCCTTGCCTGATCGTAGGCTTGCTTGGATCTTTCAAGAAAAGGAACACCACAAGCAGCACTTGCCACAGTGGGGGTTAAAACCATGCGACAGGACCGAGCCACACCACAGAGATGCCACTCCACCAACATAGAGTCCCAGACCAAACCACTTCAGCCAAAAGATTTATACTTAACTATATTAGACCGTTTCTTTTCTAATAGCAATGGCCTCCAACCTAGTAGCGATGGCCTCCACCCTACCACCACCTCACCAGCGGTAAGCTCCTACAACTGCTGCAGTAAGATGGGTGGGTGCCACTCCAACCCGTGGCAAGACTGTACCAGTTCAGCAGCAAGTTTCCAGTTTCAGTTCACCAGGGGCAGGCAATCTACCATTCGTGTGAACGCGTCTTTATTGAAAGTGGTGTGACGCACTGGTCGGTTGATCTGTTTGACGTGTTGTCAGCGACCCTTTATGATCCTTATATGACAATCACTAGGATTAGTTTCTCTCCAAATAAAAAACGGACCTTCTGCAACCTCTTCATCCAGAACCTTTGGGAAGGCCTGGCCTGCCCCCTACTACTTGATTGAGTAGGCGCCTACTTGATGAAGTAAGGGCTAAGTTAGCTCCTAGGTAGGACGCAGGATAGCTCGCGCTTCTATTTATTTGGCTCCTGGATTTGTTAGTGGACCCAAGATTTCACAACTCAGTACTCAGCATGCCTTGATCTCTTGCCTCAAATCTCGAATGGAATCCGTCTCCTGTCATTGCGGGTGACTTCGTCACTGCGCGTGTCAAGATGTCGCTTCACAAATAGGATTTGAATACAAAACCCAAACTAAACCCTTGCCGACAATCACTCAGAAATACAATTTTACAACCACTTTCTCCAGGAGAAAACATGTCAAGCGTTGGGTTTTGCGTTTCAAAAACCGGTGAATGGCCGAATCAATGTCTCATGAAGTTGTAGTAATCAGTGTCATCTCTAGGCCGCACCTCTGGACGCTACTAGGGGCAAAGGGCATCGCTACTAGGAGCAACAAAGCTACTAGGGGCTCCTGGCCTTACTACTAGGAACAAGACCGCTACTAGGAGCATTGGGCGTTACTTGGGTTGTAGGCCCCTGTGGGCCAAGGCTTCGTATGAAACTCGTCAGCGCAGATTTGGGGCACTTTCAGCAAAACAAGGTTTGATGTCATCGTTCAATCAGCAATGCAAAGCGTTTGCCCATTTGGCAAAAAAATGACGACTCCTACTACTACTCCTACTACTACTACTACTACTACTAAACTACTACTACTACTACTAAACTACTACTACTACTACTACTACTACT